ACTCTTTGTATGGCTATGAAGCACCATCCTATAGCACTGTGGAAAACTGGTACAACGAATTCAATAGTGCCCGACGCTCGCTCAAAGACTAATTCCGCGAAGGTCGTTCAAAAACAGCCATTGTGCCAGAAAACATCGATGCCGTACGTAAACTGATAATGCAAGACCGTCATGTAACATACCTTCAGATAGAGGCATGCCTATGCATTTCTCCCACTAGCATACATTCGATATTGCATGAACACCTGGCCGTAAAAAAGGTTTGTTCTCGTTGAATCCCGCACAATTTGACAAGCGCTCAAAACAAGGCTCGTGTGGATTGTGTGAAGAAATGCTGAAAAAATACGATCGCGGTGCTTCAAAAGACGTTTATAAGATCGTCACAGGTGACGAATCATGGATCTATGTGCATGAGCCAGAAACGAAACAGCAATCAACCGTGTGGGTCTTCCAAGACGAGCCAAATTCAACGAAAGTTGTTCGTGGAAGAAGCACTTCGAAGCAAATGGTCGCCTGTTTCTTCGGCAAAACTGGTCATGTGGCGACTGTTCCGCTTGCGCAACGTAGGACGGTCAATTCTGAGTGGTACACCACCACTTGTTTGCCTGAAGTCTTCGGAGAAATTCGAAAAATCGAATCATTGTGCACCATGACAATGCGGCCAAAACGTCGAATTGATGGGTCATCCGCCGTACAACCCTGACTTGGCACCCAATGACTTCTTTTTATTCCCACACATTAAGAAAATAATGCGTGGTCAACGATTTTCGTCGACAGAAGAGCTGTTGAAGCATTCAAAAACCATGTTTTGGAGGTGTCTCAATCGGAGTGGAAAAAGTGCTTCGAAAATTGGTTTGAGCGCATGCAAAAGTGTATAAATCTTGATGAAGAATATTTTGAAAACAATAAAACCATTTTCATTGATAAATATTCCTATTTTCATTATTAGGCCAGATATATATCTAGTAGTCCTCTATTGTTTAGAAATAAATGACGCAATAACATCCTTGAGCATGTTCTTCCTGTTCATTGTCCTTTTTATAATTTGTATGTCCAGGTGCACCTATGTAGATATTATCGATGAGGTTGAACCCCGGTGATTGTGGTGGTGATCCATGGTGCTTTAGAAACAAATGGTAGATAATCCTTTCTTAATAATACAATGTTACAACGTCAAAAATTGGTTGAATCGGGTCAATTTTTCCTTGGCCCCCATATACCTAATATAAATATATGACCAGTATGTAACTTATCTCAAGAGATAAAAGTGATTGAGTTTAATTTCCGCTTTAATTGTAATCTATTCACGTTTTCGTCCAATAATGAAGTTGAACACTTTCACTACATTTTCCAACAATGCAATCGCCTACAGTATGTAGGGTATTGCTTTCATTTCTGTTAAAGGTTATAGAACAGTGGATACGAAAGAAAAGCGCAAAAAATAACTTCCAATATATGTAGATTAGGGTAAAAAACACCCTAATGTAGATACATACTAGTATATATGAATACCTATATGTAGAGCAAATAATTCACTGTAGCAGTTATGTAAATTGTTGAAAATTATTTTGTATTTCCGTGCATTGTTTCAACATAAGTATTTGAATGTTTGCAATTATGTATTTTCTTGCACCATTTCACTTAATAATTTTATACAAAATTCACTGTTAGTACTCTCATAACATGTTGCACTGAGTATAATCATTTTGTTCACTTAGTAGTTGATTGCAACATCTGGGTTAGATATATAGTACAATGTACATAAAAATGCTCAGAATGGCAAGTCGAATTGATTTAGCATTACAATTAGGTATAAAATTGAGCAAACTATGACCAAACAGTTAACAAATTTGTTGGTTTCGTTAATCCAAATTTCTAGATTACGTTCTTTTACCAACGGACTCCTCGAACTACTGAAAACTTCGCAACGAAACCCATTGTATCGAAACTAGCTTAGCTCCCTTAAGTATTTGCTCGATCCATCCATTCGATTCCATTTAATATGACTCTCTCAAAATTGTGAGCACTTCTCATAATTTATATATTTGCTAAATGTGCAAGCCCCCAATGTTTGCTGAACTCATCACTGTGAAAATGGATTGAATTAAATGATAACCTCGAACATTCCCTATTTAATAAAATCGTGATAAGTTAATAAATAAATACATTAAAATTTACACCCGAAATGGTACGAGAGAGTCAAAATATGACGATGGCCTATGAAATCTCATTTCCCAGGACCTTCTCTACCTATATTGACAAATTTTGTTTGTAATATTATTTTATTGTTGAAAAGAAATCGTCAATGAATGCATGAGGACTGGGTCGAACAGTGCACACCATGGAACCAAAAATTTCTCAAAACCGAACTACAACAGTTCAAACTCCCAAATAGCGAATATGTGGAACTCAATTCCAACAGCACCATTTAATTGTAAATATCAATCAATCTCTGAGAAGTATTATTGAAATTTAGAGCAAACCCCTTCCGGTAAACAGTATCTCTGTATGTCAAATATTGGTTAATCGAATGAAGACTTCTCTTAGCCGCCATATAGCAAATGAAAAGATTTTCGAAATTCCAGTTCACATTATACCCCATATAGCCAATATGTGCAGAAAAACGAGACAGCGTGTGTTACTAATATCTTGGATACACTAATATATATGTATAATAACTAATATATTGACTTTAGTCTATTTGATATGTATATCGCGAATGGTAAGTGTACCTAAATGAAATTCAGGGAGCATATTACACAGAACAACAATTCCAAGTCAGGGTGATGGTACTAGGTCAGTATAGTAAAACCCTCAAAGGGTTTGGCGTTCGTATGTGTCAGTTTTTTTATGACCTTTTAAATTTTTTCTTTATTTCCCATGGTTTTCCATCTTTACAAATTAATTTTTTCCAATCAGGCATACTAAATGGTCCAGATATACTATAGCTGATTAAAAGTGACGCATTCMACAATATTTTGATTGACACTGAATTGAATGCATGGCAGGCAATCAAAGAAGTAATAGAAGGCTTGTTGGGAAAGCATCGTTCTACAACTACGATGTTTCTGTCGCAAGGATGTTAAGAGCATTCTCGGAAATTGGTTTTTTTTTTGTCTTTTTTTTTTTTTCCAAAATGTTACAACTAAGCGAAAAAACATCCAGATAAGGAAAAAATTTAAAAGGTTATAAAAAGCTGACACATACGAACGCCAAACCCTTTGAGGGTTTTACTATAATGACCTAGTACCATCACCCTGACTTGGAATTTCTTACCTCCCAGACAATAATCACAAAAATGTTCCTCAGTGTTATTACCCCCAATCCCATATACTAAATATAAGACTTACGACGGATATATCATTAACCATGCAGAATGGTCACAATTTCTGACAATTCTGATATTTGTGAACCTTCTAAATTGGGAGAGTATTAAATGTTCGGTTATACCCGAACTTAACCCTTCCGTCCTTGTTGAACCCTAGGAGTATCTAAAACGTTTCCGCCTAAACATAGCCTCTTGTTATAAGCTACGAACAGAATCATTTCAATTGTTTGAATATAGTAATTTGGGGTTATTGAAAATCTTTAGTGTCTTTAAAGGCTGCAATTTTTCGCAGCGCTGCGTTACGTCTTCTTTAAAAGCTACCTTCGTTACCGCTAATAGCCACAGTTAACATTAAGCTATTCCCACTGAAATGTTGACTCATAAAATGCGTATGCTGATATAACCAAAAATATTAGCGTTATCGGTATAAAGATAAAGTTAAATTAAAAAAGAAAGAAATGTTTGCTGTAAACGCATTCAATCTTATAACTGCAACAAATACGGAAAGAAGTGTGTAAATCAAATTGGTTGTGAAAAGTAATTTATGTTAAGTCAAAATCGCAAGCATGCAATTACCAATGTTCGGCTTTTACAATAAAGTGCTACTATTATGTTGCTGTTGTTGCATGCTGAGTAAAGGTTAAAAATATAATTATATTTTATAAAAGTAGTGGGCTTGTGCAATACATAATACAATATGTTACAGCTAAACTTTGGTTTCTCGAGCAAGGAACTCTGGAGTTTTTATTACGAAATGGAAATTTTAATATAAATCCATTACACTGTCGTTTGGGGCTTACAAATATTTGCCCACATAAATACTTGGAACATCGGTTGTTTACTAAGTGAGTATTACTAATGACATAACATTAACTAGAAGAAAAAAAAAAACGATTTGGAATCGTTTTTCTAAAATAAAATAATCTGACGATTTGCAAAATGACACCCCATGAAAAAAAAGAAGGCGGCCGATTAGGCAGTGCTTTCAAAAATCAAATACCTTCCTAAAGCGGACAGTACCATGAACATCGTGAAATTTTAGACTTTATTTCTACAATTATTGATTTTCACATTTATGATGCAATGCCGAATACTATTTCGAACTTCCACCATTTTTCAAGTTGAACTAAAATATCTTCATTTCCATTGATATTATCGCTTAAGAGATATACTGACTACGGGTGATCCATCTGTCTAGTCAATCCGTCTGATCCTTTTGATAGCGACTATTTTTAAGCGTTACAAACAGCAGTTGAACTAAACTCTTTTACTTCATTATATTGGTTTTTTTTGCTACTATGCGTTATTTCCATCATTTTTCGAGGGTATAAGAATGAAGGAAAGCGATTTGTATGAGTAAGTTTGATATAGCTCACGGAGTGGCTTATGTGAACTTGGCCGCCTTTCACAAAGGTGTCACCCACAAAAATCGCACGCTATTACACTTGCTTCCTACAATTCAAGTGCATTGTCCTCCACTCACGCGAGACTTATTGAGCAAACTGCTTGCTTTTTTGCCACAATGCAGCCACTCAAGAGCGCGAGCAACCAAGTGTGACTTACAAAAACTACACTTTCTAAAGGCCAGGTGATAGTAACGAACGTGGAATATTGTTAGAGGAAAACATTCGATGGCGCGCTTTTAATCGCAACGCAAGTAAACGGAGTAAAGTTAAAATGCTAACCGGCAGTGAGTCAGTGCATTACAAAAGAAAGATATCTCTGTGCTCTGAAAATTCGTCAAAAATATTTGAAATCAGCGCACGGTTGTGAAATTCAGAAATTAAATATTTTGTAAATTTTTCGTGAAAAAACTGTCATAAAAACATATACAAATTGAGCAATGAAATTCTCCCTAGCACTTCTGCTAACCTTTTTCTTTGTATACAGAGGTAGTGTAATTTATAAATAATATATACATACATATATGTATGTATATTTTGCAATAGATTCATACTAGAGCAATTATTTACATTTGCAGAGGCGCCTGCTATTATTTTCAATCAAATGGATATAAAAAGTGTCTTAACCAGCGGAGCTTTGGATTTAAATGTGTTACGATGCTTTCTACACAATAAGAATATATGTCCAAGCCCTTATATAATGTACCGTTTGTATTCTCCGTAAGTGTTGTTCTTAAGAATTTGTTTTACTAAGAACTTTTAGCGATATAAAATAACAGTAAATATTGATATACAGCTATCCCAGATATATTTCATAAGTGAAAAGAATATTTAAAAGTCAATTAAATACAGTTAAACTAGTTGTTATATGATGCATTTAAAATATAAAAAAATGCTGCATCGTGGCTATAATAGTGTATACTAGATCTTTACCTCTATGATGGTAGCGTTGTCTATACTGAGTTTCTAGAAGGTAATTTGTCAAAAAAAAGTTTCAACAGCTTGATTTGGACCGGTCTGTAGTGATCCAAATGACCAGCTGCTTAGATAGAAAAAGTTTTGTTCAAACCTACATACATATGTACGTATGTATGTATATACTTAATGGGGTCTCCTACGTTTTTTCTGGGTGTTGTAAACTTCGTAGCAAACTAATATACCCTGATGAGGGTGTAAAAATGCATGAAAATTATCGCATTCAAAGCTGAGAAAAGTTTTATGCAGATAAGACTTATGTACATAATAAGGCAAACGTCAAAAATCGAAAACGAAAGATAAATTAACAAAGATTTGTTATCTTGATTTCCGGCAAAACTACGAGACCTATAGAAAAAAATTGTGTGACAATGTTGCGGGAAATGAAAAGATAAAAAATTTTTTTATACAGTATTTTTATATTTTTATTTGTATCTAGTACACAAATATTGTTTCTTTCACGAAATTTGGTAAACTTACCTTCTTAGGACCATAAGGTACACGGTATTTTTTTGATTAAAATATGTCCTAAGGTGAAAAGTAAAAAACTGTTTTTGAACATACTCTAACTTTTCGGAATGAATGTGGTAACTAGAGATTTAAACAAAAAACCTATAAATTGATATAACTAAGCACTAAATTAAGATAAAGAAAGTAAGGAAGTCCTAAATTCGGGTGCTTACGCTACCGCTTACGACATTATAGCCGAGTTAACAACAGCCTGTCAATCGTTTCTTCGTTTAGTAATTTGGCGCCAATTCGAAAACAAGTGCAGCAAGGTCCTTCTCCACCCGATCTCTCCAATGGCGTCAAGGTCATCTTCTTCCTCTGCTTTCTATGGCAGATACTGCGTCGAATGCGTTCAAAACTGGAGTATTTTCATTCATACGGACGACATGGCCTAGCCAGCGAAACCGCTGTCTTTTAATTCGCTGAACTATGTCAATGTCGTCGTATAACTCATCGTCGTCGTCGACTTATCAGATGTTATCCTCGCCCATGCCTCTGCACCATATAGCAGGGCGGGAATTATGAGTAACTTATAGAGTTTACTGGTTGTTCGTCGACAGGAGACTTTGCTTCTCAATTGCCTACTCAGTCCGTTATTTTGCTTTGGATTTCGAGGCTGACTTGTTGTTGGTATTAATACCTTTCCAAAATAGACTAAATTATGTACGACTTCGAAGTTATGACGGTCAACAGTGACGTAAGAGCCTAGTCGCGAGTTCGCTTCTTTATCCACTCTGGAGAAAGCAGAACTAACAGCGCAGTTGTTGAGGCCAATGATATCAATATCATCGGCGTACGACAGCAGCTGTACACTTTTTTAGAAAATGGTACCTTCTCTGTTTAGTTCTCTGGCTCGAATTTTTTTCTTCAAAAGTAGATTGAAGAAGTCATACGAAAGGAAGTTACTTTATCTGAAACCTTGGTATCGAACGGCTCGAAGAGGTCCTTCCCGATCCTGACGGAGCTTTCGGTATTGCTCTAAATCACTTTACACAGTCGTATTGAAGATCAATACTTACCTTAGCCCGCAAATATGAAATAAAAATATTGTTGAACTCCCGGTTGACCTTATATGTATGTATGTAACTTTACTTTGCCAGAGTATAAAATGTTTGGTCATACCCGAAGTAATAACCTTGTTTTCTTAATGTATGTTATTTTACCTATTTCCGACCATTGCACCAACTATGAATTTCTTTCTTATCAATTTCAAAGTTTCTGCACTAATATTATATAATATTTCATATCTTCTTCTTCTTCTTGATTGGCGTAGACACCGCATACGCGATTATAGCCGAGTTAACAACAGCGCGCCAGTCGTTTCTTCTTTTCGCTACGTGGCGCCAATTAGATATTCCTAGTGAGCCAGGTCCTTCTCCACTTGGTCCTTCCAACGGAGTGGAGGTCTTCCTCTTCCTCTGCTTCCCCCGGYGGGTACWGCGTCGAATACTTTCAGAGCTGGAGYGTTTTCGTCCATCCGGACAACATKACCKAGCCAGCGTAGCCGCTGTCTTTTAATTCGCTGAACTATGTCAATGTCGTCGAATATCTCGTACAGCTCATCATTCCATCGAATGCGATATTCGCCGGGGCCAACGCGCAAAGGACCATAAATCTTTCGCAGAACTTTTCTCTCGAAAACTCGCAACGTCGACTCATCAGTTGTTGTCATCGTCCAGGCCTCTGCACCATATATCAGGACGGGTATTATGAGTGACTTATAGAGTTTGGTTTTTGTTTGTCGAGAGAGGCTTCTCAATTGCCTACTCAGTCCGAAGTAGCACCTGTTGGCAAGAGTTATTCTGCGTTGGATTTCTAGGCTGACATTGTTGGTGGTGTTTACGCTGGTTCCAAGATAGACGAAATTATCTACAACTTCAAAGTTATGACTGTCAACAGTGACGTGAGTGCCAAGTCGCGAGTGAGACGACTGTTTGTTTGATGATAGGAGATATTTCGTCTTGCCCTCGTTCACTGCCAGACCCATTTGTGTTGCTTCCTTGTCCAGTCTGGAGAAAGCAGAACTAACGGCGCGGGTGTTGAGGCCAATGATATCAATATCGGCATACGCCAGCAGCTGTACACTCTTATAGAAGATAGTACCTTCTCTATTTAGTTCTGCAGCTCGAACTATTTTCATATATAATGTGAAAATATATGAATATAAGCAATGAACATACACATTTACGGACTCTTATAGCTTATTGGAGTTTCGAATCCTTACCAGAAGGCCGCAAAAAGAAGTAGCTCAGTTAAACGTCGAACAAGCGTGTATGAAATAATGACTTTATTTTGGAAACCTAAATATCATCCACAGTTTATTTTATACTCTGAACAGGGTATATTAAGTTTGTCACGAAGTTTGTAACACCCAGAAGGAAGGGTCGGAGACCCTATAAAGTATATACATATATAAATGATCAGTATGTCGAACTGAGTCGACTTAGCCATGTCCGTCTGTCTGTATATATACGAACTAGTCCCTCAGCTTTTAAGATATCGTTTTGAAATTTTGCAAACGTCATTTTGTCTTCAAGAAGGTGCTCATTTGTCGGAACTGCCGATATCGGACCACTATAACATATAGCTGCCATACAAACTGAACGATCGGAATCAAGTTCTTGTATGGAAAACTTTCACATTTGACAAGATATATGAACCCAATTTGGTATATATAATTTCCTGAGCCAACAATGTAATCTCCGAAGAAATGGTTCAGATCGGTTAACTATAGCATATAGCTGCCATACCAACTGAACAGTCGGAATCAAGTTCATGTATGGAAAACTTTCACATTTGACGTGGTATCTTCACGAWATTTGACATGGATTACTGCTTAAGGTAATAATATAATCTCCGAAAAACAATTTCAGATCGGCTCACTATAGCATATAGCATCCATACAAACTGAACACATAATTACTAACAGAAGTGCACCTGTGAATGGTCTTTAGCTTCGGTGCAACTGAGGTTAACGTTTTTTCTTGTTTTCAGTTATGTTTAGTAAATTTGCCATTGTTTATATCAACCGGTTGCATTATTTTACTTAAAACCAAAATAATGCCGATGATTTGATAGTCCAACATAAAATAAAGTTAATTATTTATAAGTATAATGTTAAGATAGTGTTAGTATGCAACTAGAATAATACAATTGCTTGGACCATTTATGGCGAAACGAGCAAAAATTCTGTATTAAAAGCGACATTGTCTTCAAAAAGGATCGTCACTGTGTCTGTCCAATATGAATGAGGCCATAGAATTACCGGTTTCACTACTGTTTACAATGTTAACAGGTTTGAATCATATGATATACACAAATATATGTATGTAATATGCTTCGTGGACAGACGATAACGGGTGAAGAGCTTCAACTTGCTGGTTCGAGGACCGTTGCCGCAAAGAACCGTTTCGCGGTCGAAGAAAATTGGTGAACCAGTTACTCTGTACTACTTTATCCAAGTATGGTTTTTACTATTTTTAACTGGCCTGTTGTTATTGAATTGCGTTGGCTGTGCTCTATGATCAAAACCCAAATACTATTGCGTAAGTTTATGAGTAGACAGCAAATGCTTCATTCTTTTACAGGTGTAAATAAACTTATTGTTTTATATTACATACTAGCGTACCCAACCCGCTTTGCCGGGCTAGATTTTATTTTTTTTTTTACAATAAAATTACAACATTAAATATTTAATTTATCTCTTATTTAAATTTAATTATTAAATTATCTTCATATTAATTTTCTTCTATTCTCTTTTCGAGCGGGTGAAGATTATTACCTAAAACAATATATGTTCATGTTAGTAAATAGAATATTGTTCCTATCATTGATACAAAAGCATATCGGGTTTAAGTTAATGTCAGAATTTAAAGTACGACGCATAGCTTGAGCATGGTAAATGTGAATTAAGAACATTAATCAATACTCATGAAACAATAGGTATTTTTAAACTATTAATGTTGAATACAAAAAAGAAATAATTATAATGACCTGATGTTCATTAAATTTTAAAATGAACAATTCTGAGTAATCTCTCAACATCATCAAATAGTCAACATGATCTCGTTCGACAGTAAACATAACAGCAAAACTTTTTTAAATATTAGAAAAAATTAAAATTGATTTATGATTTAAAATTATTGATAAGACATTTTCAGGATGATAATACTTCTATTTAATTTCTTTTTAATGATTATTCAATTAAACTTCATATCTATATACTTATATATAAA